GTCTGCAGTGTAAACTCCTGGGCAGAGAGCAGCCCCACCCCAACGACTGCAAAGCAGGCCCGTTAATGTAAAGATGAGTTTCCCTGCAAAAACTTGGAAATGACTTAACTGTTGATTACTTTAGAATGACACAAGGAAAGATGTAGTCCCAGTGAAAGCTAGCAATTGGCTCCTTGAATCCATCTGGAGGGAGACGACCGTGGGTACGTAGAATTGCCCCCCATCTGTGCTGTAGGTGTCGGACATCACCCTCTTGTCATGCACATGTGGGCACGGGGAGGGGGTGGGGGTGAGCCCAGGTTACGTCCATGTGAACCATCAGGTTGAAAGCATCCTTCTTCGTGCTCTGAAGGGACCCATGTGTGGTGGTTCCTTGAATTGGAAATAGGTGGTCTTGCTTGGAGTCAAGAGTGAGCTTTAGGCTAAAGGGAAAGGTGTCATGTTACCTGAGAGCAGGGTCCATCCCAAGTGCCATTGCTGGGCTTTCCCATCACCTGAGGACCAAGATGGGAAGAACAAGGATAAACAGTGGTGGCCCCTGTCCTCAGGACTGTACATATGGACTGAGGGTTTAGGACACACCCAGGAGACAGAAAGCAAGGCAAGGGAGCAAGTGTAATTAGGACAGCAGATGCGTTTCATTGGGTTCGGACTGCCTAGAGACTCGTGTTGAGAAGGATTCTGAGGCCGGATTTGAGCTCAGCAGGAAAGACCTGAAGTCTCTTTCCATGAGGAGGTGGCAGGGTGTCCCAGAGATAAAGGCCTCTACAGAGACGCAAACTGGGGGTCCAAAAGACCCTTTGCAGAGGGGAGGAGGGAGACCATGAAGCACAGGTTCGAGTTCTTTATTTTCATTCAGTTTTATGGTAAGAAATATGGATGTAAAATATTTATAATGTAGAAAACCAGAAAATCATCAGGAATTCTGCTCTCTAGAACAATCATTGCTGTTTTCTGTGGCCGCTTTTCCTACTTGTTGTGTAGATCCTGGCATGTTTTTTCCAAATACCTAAAATCTTGTGTCCTCTTTCCTCTACTCACAGCTATTGCTACTTGTTCATTTTTCAATGCCTTACGGCAAGATTTTGAAAAATGTAAGCCCAAGGGTACAACGTGGTGTCTTTCTCACCAGTCATTAACTCTGGGGCATTATCCATCGACCTTCAGAAGTAGAATAGTCACTTATAGTCCCTTCTTTTTTTTTCTTTGTCATTTGCGGTAAAATACATAGAACACAAAATCTATCATCTTAACCATTTTTAAGTGCCTGTTTCAGTCGTGTTAAGTATATTCAAACTGTAGCGTGACTGATCTCTAACTTTATGTGGCAGGTTGTCTTGAGTGAAGTTGGGAACCACCCCCCACCCCGATGGGCACCTAGTTCCTGACCTTTAGATGAGGTGGATAGAACATAGGGCAGGCAGCGAAGGGGGAGAGACAGCACGAGCAGAGCGACCTTTGTAGTAGGCTGATTTCCTCCCCGGTACCTCCCATTTTACAGATGATGACACTGAGGTACAGACTGTCCTTGCTTTTGGTGGGGGGTGGGGGAGGTAAATGTTCCGGAATCATAAATCTGGAAAGGTGTGCAGTGACTTACATGAACAAGCAGCTTGCCAGAGACCTTGGGGCCAGTCGGGGGCAGACCCGGGAGGCAGACTTGGGTCAGCCCCATCTGCTGCACCGCCCTGCCGTTCATGCGGTCTGGGGGGATCCCGGGAATACAGTTGGATAGAAGTGGCCGGATGAGGGGTTTCTTGAATGTTCAGCGGAGGAATTAGACACAGGTGTCCAGGGGCAGCTTATGTTGAACAGCGAAGGGACAGCGAGACACCTGTGCTGTGGGAGATGCCAGTGGCAAAGGCCAGCCGAAGGAGTGACTGAGGAGTGTCCGAGGGAGAAGCAAAACACGGGGTGCAGGGTCTCGGGCAAGCGGGGTATAGGCTGAGTGTGGGAGTCAGGGGGCCGGGGAGAGGCCAGTGTTCGGGACACAGCAGTCCCGTAATAACGGACATTTGCCTGGGCTTGCCCCATCCCGGCATCTTATTGTGCCCCTGCCACAAGCCTGTGAGGGAGGTAGTGCCGTTGTACCCGTTTTCACTTGGGAGGACCACGGGTGAGATGCCTGCCCCAGAGGAGGTATCCCGTGAGGAGAGTTGGGACTGGGATGATGTTGTTATCAGAACGTCACCCACAGCCACCACAGCCCGGCCTGCCCACAGACGCTCGGAAAGCAAGGATGCCCAGGAAAGAGGGAGCCAGCAGCGGGGTCTCCCACTTACAGGAGGAAGATTCCATATCTGACGACGAGGGCTTTGCTGGAACACTGGGAACACGGTCCACACCGGTTTGCCCACCATGAGCGAGTGCGCTGGTGATTAGCTGGGCGGAGTCTTCTCGGTCGCTTTCCTTGGAGCTGGCTGGGAGCTCCACAGTCTTACTTCATCCATGGAGTAAGCTGATATCTGCAATTTAAGAAGAGCCTGGTTTTGGTAGGAAGTTGATTCAATTACTGTTGTGTAAGATTTTCTTGGTCTGGTCTTGATCCTCTGGATTTCTCTCGGCTTCAGTAATTTCTGGGCGGTGATCTGTCCCCTGCCGTTTAAGCCAAGTCACACTGACATTCAGAGCACCCAGAAGAAGGTGTTGGAGTAGCTCGTTCCAAGATGAGAAAGAGAGAATCAAGGTGGAAGTAGCACATTGACAACCTTTAGGACCTCGGGCAGCGATAGGATTATGTGATTTATTTTACTATTTTTTTTTTTTTGCCCCAGGCAGGTTGTCTCCTTCTAAGATCATTCATGCCCTCCGTACCCAGCAGAAATTGTGTTCATTCTGAATTAAAATAAAAGTACTGGTGTTCATCCGTTTGGGGAAACGGCATCTGTTACAGCTGATACGATCAGTGTATTTACAAGTTCACCGTGGGTCAGAACAGCAGCATTTATAGTCACACACACAGGACACTCAACTAGATAAAGCAGAGGAAAGAGCCCACGCCGACGGGGCCCGAGTGCCGGGATTCTGCAGCTCCTGGCCTGCCTGCCACGCCGGGAGATCCCCTTGTGTCACAGGGTCTTACAGCAAAGCGGGCGGGTGCGGCCACCTGGGAGAAAGGAGCGCTGGCAGCACGGACTTTCCAAGCAGGCGTCCTGGTGGTACAGAAGAACAACTTGGGAATGTTTCCACGAGCCCGGCAGTCCGAGGGCTTGTGTGGCGTGTTGGAAGGGCTCTCCCTGGGGCACCCCTGGGGGTAGATAGTGATGGGCAGGGGCAGCTGCCAAGCATCTGGCTACCTCAGGGGCCTGACTCAGATGTTTGCGGGGCCCATGGGGAGGGAGGAAAATGAAGGTCCCGTTAGAAGCACAGGCTGCAAAATCCACGCTTTCAAGTGCAGAGGAATGGCACGTGTACGTGAACTCCACTCTTCCGCCTTTGAGTCCCGTCTGGGCTCCTGTTCCCTTTAGAGAACATTTGGATTCTCCTCCTGGGCTTTGGGGCTGGGTGTGATTCTGTCTGGACCTGCATCTCCCATCTCCCCTGGCTCCATGGGTTTCCTGACCCCGCTGTGGCCCCGGGGTCCGTCTCCTCCGAGTGCTCGCTGTCCAGTCTCCCCTCCCACCTCCGCTCTCGCCCTCCCGAGCCACTTCTGTCCTCAGCCTCAGGGCCACTGCCATGGGGGGGTTCATCACCACAGGAGACCTTTTATGGTCCTCTCTGACCTCCCCAACCTGGGAGAGGATAGGTTATTCTCTTTATGGGCTTTATCAGCATGAGCACAATTCACATGAAAGTGACTCATCGTCGGTGGTTTTGTTTCCCTTTCTGCCACATTCACAGCTCTGTCCCCTGCTCCACACGCCAGGCCAAGTGTACACCAGAATCCACCCCCCGGGGTCTCCTGGGGAGTGAAGGACAGCAACAGACATTTGCACTGAATGGGGAATCAGCAGTGGTCGTCTAGCTGCAGGATAATCTTGCCACCTGGGAAGTTCCCCCCCAACCCCTGCCCCCAGGGCTACTTCAGGGTGAATTTGTCAGACCCAGCATATCTGGTTAAATGGAGAAACAAATCAAGGGCCAAGAGTGGTCAGTTGCTGCGGCAGCGTAGCACGTACAGTGACCTTGGTGTCTGGTCAGAGCCCGCTGGTTTGATGAATCCACCAACTGTTTCTGGTCCTGCTCATTGAAGATCTCCAGCCCACGAATGCTGTGGCCACGCCATTCTCCGCTCAGCCCAGCTCAGAGGCAGACAGCCATTCCTTTGAAGCCCGTAAAACGTTTCTTACTTCGCGTGTTATTTTGATTTCTTTTTTTAAGCTGCATACTTATCAGGCTCTGGGCTTGTTTGTTTTATGCGCTGAAGTCTGCTGGCAAATCTTATTGAGGAAAAAGATAAAGCTCAGTTATCTACTTAGTATTATATTCTTCTCGTGAAAAAGGATGCCTTACAGAAAAACAGGACGTTCCCTTCCCTCCACCAGCAATCCCGTTCCTAGCCCACACCCCGTCCTTGCAGCCCCCATACATTTCTGTACATTCCGCTCAAGCGGATCGTTTTATGGGAAGTGTGGAGTATAATTTTATGCAAGGGTTAATCAAAATGTCAGAGGAAGCCTCTTGTACGTATCACCCTGCGGTTTGCCTTGTCACTTAATAAGACTTTGTGGAGAGGTAGAACCCTACGACTCACGCTAGGTGGACTGACTCCTGTAACTGTAATGGGCAGGAGACCAAGCAGGAGGGCCGGGGTCGCCGGCCGCCTGCCGTCCCCACCCTGGGTGCAGCGCGGGCCAGGGTGTGGGCTGGGACGCGGGCTGGGGCGCTGGCCGGGCGGGCGCTCTTCTTCCGGCCACTTGTGTTGTGTGTTACCAAGGGCCCGTTGTGTTTGTTTCCAGACCTGATCACACTGGCTGTAGGTGTTACTATAATTGCACGATTTCCTTGAAGATGATACAAGCCTCTGCTATACAAGTGTGAAGAGACAGTGGTCGTTCGTTCTTCATGGAAGCCAAATGGAATGCGTAAGACAGTCTCAGGATTAAGACTCAGAATTGTTCCTCTCCACGGAAATCTTTAGTAAAAGGCAAAAGATTTATGCGATCTGAAGACAGACTCAGGAAACCTTGCTGGAAACCAGGAGCTGGGGGGCACCTGGGTGGCTCAGTGGGTTAAAGCCTCTGCCTTCGGCTCAGGTCATGATCCCAGGGTCCTGGGATCGAGCCCCACATCGGGCTCTCTCCTCGGCGGGGAGCCTGCTTCCTCCTCTCTCTCTGCCTGCCTCTCTGCCTACTTGTGATCTGTCTGTCAAATGAATAAATAAAATCTTTAAAAATAGAAAAAAAAAAAAAAAGACACCAGGAGCTGCTGCAGATGGAGAGGGGGGAGGCCCTACTCCGACGGCCCCGCGGGTGTCTTTGGGACAGGAATTGCCCAGTGCCAGTGTTAGATGGTGTGGGGTTTGTGCGAGACAGACGGTGGGGACCTCAGAGGTGGGGCCGTCTTCAAGGAAAACGCGCTGAGTCCCGACCACGAAAGATGGAAAGCAAATGCACGTCACATGTTCCCAGGAAAAATAACATATCTGTTTCATTTTGTAGTAACGATTGACTTCTGGGTTCATCCCCCAGTCGCTGGTCCTGGTAGCTCGAGACCCACCTTCTTCTGTTCACTTGCTCCCCCGAATTCCATAGAATGGTCGTCCCTCCACCTCCACCCCCATCAGCGGGTGCGACAGTCACGTCTCACCTTTCGCTCTTAGACCCGGTGCAGGACTGAGCAGCTCTTCTGAGATTCTGGGCATCCGTCGGCTGCGGGTGATGGAGAGATGCCGCATTGCTGGGCGTGGGCTCGCCCTGTGTGGGAGGGAGCTGGCTGTGGGTGAGGCCGAAGCTGAAGCCGCGAGGCTGCTCGCTCCGTGGAGGCCGGAGCAGGTTTCTACCTGGGAAGCAGGGCTGCGCGGGGGCCGCTCGGAAACGCGCAGGTGTCCAGCCGGTGTTTGGCTCTGTGTGTTCAGCAAGCATTTCTAGAGCCTCGCTGGCGTGCCAGGGGCTGTGGGAGGCAGGGGCATGGCTTGCCTGGTCTTGGGAAGCTGGTGAGACTGTTCTGTATGTGGGAGAACGGAATGCGTGAGTGTGGTGCTCTGGCCCTTAGTCCAGGGGGATGCGGTCCGCCTGTCTTGCTGTGTACTTGGGCCCCGTCGCAAGATACCACAGACTGGGGGCTTGAACATTGGTTTCTCCCAGTGCTGGGGTTGGAAGACCGAGACCAGGGTGTCAGCCTGGTCGGCTCCTGGTGAGAGGCCTCTTCCCAGCCGGCACACGGCCGCTTTCCCCGCCGTGTCCTCCCGCGGCGGAGAGAGTGAGCTCGGGGCTCCCTCCTCGGTCCCATCACGAGGGTCCCACCCCCCCGTCCTCACCTAACCTGAGTTACTCCCGAAGTCCCCACTTCCCAGTCTCCTCTCACTGGGGGTTAGGACTTGAGCATGTGAATTTGGGGGGGTGTATTGCAAATACAGACGCTCAGTCCATAACGCCGTTCCCAGCCGAGAAGAGCCGAGCCGAGGAACGGTTTACAACGGGGCAAAAAGTTGGCCTGTAGCTTTGCTCTGAAGGAGGTTGTCAATTTCCTGTTCTAGGCTTAGTGAAGGGTGATTCCATTCCAAAGAGCATCCATCTGCCTCCTGCTGCCTTGGAGTCTGTGAGGTGTGGAGGGCGAAGGTCTGGCCTCAAGGGGCCCTCGTGTCCCTCTTGGTTCTGCCTATTGCTTGCTCTGTGACCTTAGGAGAATTGCTTCCTCTCTCTGTGCCTCAGTGTTCCTGTGTCATAGGTGGGCCGGGTCAGGCTTGGGAGTCTGAAGACAGAATGGCCCTGAGATGGCACAGAGTGGCCCGATGGTCAAGCTTTGGGGCCGTCTTTGCCTTGAGCAGACTGATGCCCTCCCCTCGCCTCCCCGATCACAGCCAAAAGCCTTCTTCATTGGCACCGTGAGCACATTTAGAAGCAATCGCATTCACCCCCATAGAGTGCTGCTTACTGCTAAGATGGCATCGGGCAGTCACCCCACATTCAAGTTCAGGGCTGCTCGGACTGTGCCACCGTCCACCTGGGTCCTGTTGCTGCCCCCCTGGGTCCTGCTGTGCCTGTGTATGGTCTTGCCTCATCCCAGTAGAGCAGTAGGTCTGAACGTGCCGAGGAGGAGGTCCATCATGAGCTAAGAGTCTGAGCCTTGGAGGCAGAAGGCCCAGGCTCAAATTTGGGCTCTTGCTCTATGATTTCCAGCGTGTTATTTTCTCCCCTCTGTGCCTCAGTTTCCCCACGTGGATGAAACAGGATGAAACCGACTCCGGGCTTAGGACAGCCCCTGACTTCTCTATCATGCTTCACAAAGATGGAGTTTCATTCTGTGGGACAAAGAGAAATCCTTATTTGGCCCAGGCAGTCTCTCCTTCCAAGGAAGGAACTAAGTTTGAGTTCATTGTTTAAAAATGGACTCCTTCCAATCCAGCTGTGACCCCCGAAGTCCCTTCTATTTCAAAAACTTCCCCTTTCTCTCTAAAGAAAAGGGTTTGCTGAGCTAATAGCTGGTATGAGCCATATTGCAGGGAAGGAGGTTTCTCCTGCTTAGGAGAAGGCAACTATTTTAAGGAACCTCAGCACATTTTTCTGTGCATCCACCTGCTGCAGGAAACCTCCGTTGTGAATGAGCCTCCTTGGGGTAACCGTTCTCCTTAGAAATCAGACCGTCGGCGCAGGAGAGGGGGCGGGGAGAGACCCGGGGGCCGGCCCCACAGAAACGCAGTTGGCCCTCATTATTGCACCCTTCAGGCTTTCCCTGATCACTTCCTGCTCCCACACCAGGCTCCAAATTTGTCCAGACAGACCCACTCTTCCCTTTTAAATGTGGGAGGAAGTTTCCTTTTAAAACATGGCCCAAGCTGGATGGTGGTGCAGGTCCGAGAGCGGCTTACGGTGGGGTCTGCTGCTGCGTGTGCTTGCCCCAGCCTGCAAAGGCATTCTTGGAAGAAGTACCTGTTGAGTGTGCGTCTGTGTGCACATGCGTGTGTGTGCACGCAGGTGTGCAGGAAACCTCTCGTTTATAAACATTTCCTCCCCCACGCGGCCTGACACCGGCTCTCAGGCCTCTGTGTGGCTTTCAGAACACGCCCTCTTCACTCTGTTGTGGAGTCTGGAGGCTCCCGTTTCCGCTCCGGCCCAGGGCAGGGAGCCCGTGATGTGTGTGTGGGTGTGTGTGCTTGTATCTGGGTGTGGAGTGCTGTGTGTTTGCACACATGTGCACAGACAGTTATTGTGTGTGTTGTGTGTATAGGTGTGTGTGTGTGCATGTGTGTGGAGTGTTGTGTGTCTACTACATACGTGTGTGTGGAGGGGGGGGTTCCCCATCTTCAGAGCTGAGTAACTTCAGGAGTGGCACTTAGAACTCCCTGTCGTACACGGGACAAAGTTCATCTCCTTATTTTCCTGGCAGAGAACGCCGAATTTGGCCCAAACTCAGTCTTTTCATTTTCATCCCTGCCAGTTCCTTACCAGGCATCCTGTGCCCCAGGCACAGACGACCTTTTTCTGTTGCCCAAAGGGCCCAGGATCTTGAGGCCTTCTCGGCCTTAGAGGACGCCGGGGATTCCCATTCTGTCCTCCTAACTGGCCCCGCTCACACGGGCCTGCCCAGACCGAGCCCTCCCTCCTCCGGGCTCCCGCCTCCCACGTGCTCACAAGACCTGCTCTCCACACGCACCGCTGGGTTTATCGGACGTATCCATCGTTCCGGCAAACGGCCTGCTACCTGAGAGCAGGGGGAGCGGACCCGTCACCACGCCCGGCACAGTGCCTGGCGGGGCGCCCGTGCTCATTGCTGGTCAGAGGGAAGGAACGGTTGTCCATGTTGTGCGACTAGGAGGGATTCTCGCAGACGACCATAGCATCAGTGACAGTCCGTGTTTATTGGGTGTTTCTTTGGTGCTGAGCCCCGTGCTCTCTTTGTATCTCTACGAATGCATTTGATTCATACCCTCCTGTGAGGCAGGTACCGGCATCATCCCCCCTTGTCAGGTGGAAGCAGGAGGCCCGGAAAGGAGGAGCACCCGGCGCAGGTTGCAGAGTTGGACCCAGTGGGTCCGGGATACTCACCAGAAAGTAGGGCGAGTTACCGCGCGGCAGATCTGCTTCTGTCCTGGGAACCAGCCTCTCCATGGCTTTGCTTCCACATGACCCTGGCTTTCCAGCTCCAGGTGCCTAGCTTTCTTGGGCACAGGAACCACCCTGCACGCCCGCCCTCCCTCCCACGTGCCCTCGGATCCTTGCACAGGATTCCCATGTGCACCTGCCAGTCTGGGGCTCCGCTGAATGAGAGAGCCCGGGGCCCTGCGTGCCCGTGAGAGGATTGCTAAATTTGCCTCTAGTGGCGCCACCCCCCTCACCGGAGGCACACCTAGTGATTGCAGGGAGAATCCGTCGTGACCTACATCGGAAGGAAGTGGGCCAGGCAGTCGGGGGGAGGCACAGGCCTGCCGAGCGTCACCGTCACCCGTCGGGGATGGAAGGCGGTGATTGATGATGGAATTGCACATTCGTCCTCCCTCCTGCGAGCGCTCCTCTTTCTGGAACCTCCTGAGGGGGCCCTGCCGCCTGAGCGGGGACCAGGGAAGAGCAGCCCCAGGGGAATGAGTCGAGAGCAAGCTGACTTGCCTGCTTCTTCCCAGGCATCGGTTGGGGGGGGTGGGGGTGGCAGAAGGTCACTGGAGAAGGGAGGAGCCTCCCACTGTTGATACCAGCTGTGACCGAGCCTGGGATGCAGGGGGCACATGGTCACCTGAGAGAAGGGGGACCTGGGCCGGGAATCCAGTCCCAAGCCAGCCCGCTGGACCGTGTTCCTTCATCAGCCCCGGAAGCCAGGTGGCAAAGGGTGAGGGGCTCTGAGTTGCAGGCCCTCCACTCATGAGTGCATTCATTTATTTAATTAATGTTTACTGAGGGTCTGTGCCCCACTTGGGGGATAGAGTAGTGAGCCACGTCCCACCATCTCCTGCGCTCACGACGCCCTCAGCCTGCTGGGGAAGGTTGATGTCAGATGACTCAATGGGGACTCATACAGTAGGGTAAT